TGCTCATCCAATCTTAAACAGGCCTGCTACATATAGAATTTTACTTATAGGATTCTTGCAAGAAGTCTTAAGATAGCTGATTGGTTAAAATATCAGTCTTTATTAATGATCAAGCTGGTGTTAAGTGAACACAATCCCGTTTTTGTGGAAGAAGTGAGTATTGGCAGTGGCAGATTATTTTGATAGGTCAAAATGTAGGAGGTAATTATCTTGAGCATTTCCTGATGTATTTGGTGAAAACAATTTTTGTGTTGTAAATGTGTGCGGTAATATCAGTAAAGCATGTTACTCTGACGGGCGTCGAGCAATTTGACATTTTGAGTTATCAGCTCTGATTCTTTTGGTACTTGATGTTGTTGGTTTATATTGATCTCGTATTTTATAGGTTGAACGAAGCTGTTATGCATTTTGGGGAAAGCATCAAGGAAATCGTCAATGAGGAGTTTGGAGATGGGATGTAAGTTCTGATCTATATTATGGTGGAGTTTAGATCTATGTTACAATGATCTTTTTGTTAGTCTTTTCTGTATATCTCTATCATTGAAAATACTATGAGCAGAATTCTGTTGATTTTCCTGCCTTATAGGTAAATAATAAAACAGAATTTAGTTTTTAAGAAATGTTCGTTTAGCTCTAGAAATTAATCCCCTCTGGTTCCAATTTAAATTACTTTATCACTGTTAGTTACGCACTTTTCCAGTTCTTCCTAGTTTTATGTGATGATCTTGCTGTGGAAATTACATATAGTATGTTGTTAAATAATAAAAATATTTGTGTACAAGAGATGTTGATAGGTAAGAAAACATGGTTTCTGGGTCGTGATTCAGGTGAAGATATATACATATACGTATATGCTTATGCGTGTATATATCTTAATTGAAGTTTGACATGTCCATGTCTGTGTCTCTTTTCGTAATCCATAGGTTCTTTATAATTTATAAGATAAGGTAGCGTCTAGCACCCCTTATGTTATTGTCCAGTCATAGTCAGCACCCTAATCGTATTTATAGTTTAGGACCTTAATCTTATGGGAAAAATAACGTCAAGGTGCTGGATACATCATCAATAAGATTAAGGTGTTGGATGCAATTGGAAAATAACATTAGGGTGTTGGATGCTACTTTGTCCTAACTTTTATTTTTATGTGAATTTTGTGCTTCATGTAGGAGTGGCTCATTCTTGTCAGTATTAAGGAATTTTTTTTCCAGTTTCCTTCCCCCCCCCCCTCGCAAAACGTTAGAACATTTTGCAAAAGATATAATAGATGGCACATAATATTGTTGAGTTAATCAACCGCTATCCCATTATGATGTTGAGAATACTCGCAATCCTAATATAACGTTGGGGTTGGTAAAACACACCATGACCGATTCATCAGCTGTTCTTGTTTGTAAATGCTGGCTTGAAAATATTATCTCACTGTTGCTTTATTGTGTAGCATGTCAGCTATAGACTTCTACTGCTCAGTTGACAAAGTTAAAGGAGTCGATGGGAAGGATCGTGTGGTGGTAACATTTGATGGGAAATATTTGCCATATACTGAGCAGGTCTGTTGCTGCATATTTATTTTTCCTAGATGGATTTTGCTGCAGAGAACAAAGATCTATTGAAAGACTGATAAAAAAACATTATAAAAAATTTCTTCCCTTGACAACAAACTGATTAGCGAGCCACAGTCAAGTCTTATTTAGTTATTTATTTAGTCTTATTTAGTTGTTGACCGCAAACATTATGAAAAATTTCCTCTGTTGTTGTCGTCGTGGTTTCATAGATTGTAGTCTTGAGTCTTTTTGCATCTGGTCAGCCACTAGAGTCTTGATGTTCAGCTCAAACATGTCTGTGTTAGCCCTCATTGGTTGATGAGCCAGAGGCTGCATGAGAATATCTGAATGCATTTATCTCCCTTTCTTTTCTTTTGACTTATAGGTAAATGGATTCAGAAATTGAGTTTGCATCATCAGTTAACAAATTAAGCATACTGACAATTCTGCAACTAATTTACGCTGTATTTTTATATGTTTAATGTCCTTTAGTAATGTTTCATATACATTTGGCCTTTCTTAATGGGTACAGAAATCAGAGCACATGGTTTCCAGGGGAAGGCTTCCGGGAAGTCAATGAGTATCCTCATGCAAGTTCCCTTACATGTTGCCTATAGACATTGGAAGAGAATAATGAAATCATCATTACTCTGTGCACATTCAGGAGCATCTTTTAGATTATATGTTACATTACATTGCAGTACTGGCTTATGTTGGTAATATCATGATACTGACATCGACTATGGATATAGATATATAAATATATATATTTTTGTGAAATCTCTTCTATCATTCTATGTTGGTTAAATACCAGATGCATTCTATCAAAAAAAAAAATTGTCTTTTATCCTTAAAAAAAAAAAATCCCTCTTGTCCTAAATATAATATTCATTTCGTTGTGTAAATTATATTATAATGTACATCTTACATTTCGGATCGGAGGCAGGTTATGTGGTTTTTTCTGGAGTAAGACAAAATGATATTGAGAAAATTAGAGTTTTACATGGTATTATCCATATTGTATTGAGCAAGCAAATGATTCAACTCACCAAACGATAAAAGAAAGACCACCTCTATCAAGATAGACAAGTGTTTCTTTTAGCTAAACTTTAAATTTTGAGAATTTAAGGCCATTGTTAATCTTTATAGCCTCTTTGGTCTGACATGTGAAGGCTGATAAGAAAAATGAAATAGCTTTCAAAACCTTCATTTTGATTTTTTGTGATGTCCACATTGTGTAGGTGGCTGCCTACTTTTTGGTTGAGGCCATTTATTTAAGCCGAATAACACGGAGCCCAATTGTTTTGCCAAACCACATTGCCCTAGTGAACAGTGAAATGAATATGGGTTCTGTTTGCCATCATGTCACTGGGATAAAACTCTTGCTGCATATTTATTTCGTATTCTATAAATTATAATTGAAAAACTGCTAATAAATTATTCTTTCTTTTTTTTGTGGTAAAAGCGGCAAGCCGAGGCTTGAAAGAGTCTCAAAAGAGACAAAATAAGAATACAAAAGAAGCAAAGAGAGCCATGAGAGAAAGCTACTAGTCTCTCCGAGAGTCTTCTGAGAACTGGGCCCAGCATCCACTTGGTACTCTTGGAACCAAAATCAGCTCCTCCGAGCTTGCATGTCCCTTTCGCGCAAGGAAGTCTGCACATCGTAGATTCTCTCTTCGCGTATGTCTAAGCTCTGTCTCTCCGCTCTGTAAAAGGAGGTTCCTAATCTCTCGGACTGCATTGCTCATGGAGTGATCTGTTACATAGTCTCTTGAAAGCATGTTAAAAGCGTCCAGGGAGTCTGAGTAGATCAGAATTTTCTGGAATCCCATTTGATGCCTGAGCTCCAGACCATGCTTGATCGCCCATAGGTCTGCTTCTCTAATAGAGCATATACCGAGTGATTTTGTGAAACCCATGATCCATTTTCCCTCATGGTCTCGAATTAATCCTCCGCATGCTGCTTGTTGCCCGAACCTAACCGAGCCATCAACATCAATTCGAACTGCGTTCTGTGGGGGTGGTAAATTATTCTAAACAGACTAAGTGAGCCATTTTGGAGCCCGCTTAAGACGAACAATTATCATATATATGTTGATGTTGATGTTGATTTTCAATAAGAGTTGCCTCGTTAGTAACAACTTGGCTCATGATCTATAAAGTTATGAGTGTGAAAGCCGTTATCGATATGAGGATTTTGTTAGTGATAATTTGTAAGTACTTCTATAAACGTTCTATGAGTTTGGAAACATATGTTGATCCTTATAAATGCAAGCCCCTAAAACTCAACTCACATAATATTTCATAATAAAAAAGATATTAATATTGATTGATAAGTGCAAGATTCTAATAAAGAAAAATTACTATATTAGTCAAATTGACAGCATCTAACGCATAAGTTGCAAGGAATTTTCAAGTTAACCAATGAAAAAAAAAACAAGCGAAAATTTACAACCGATTTTAAGATTCAGTTTTAGATTTTAGATTGATATTTTAGTTTCCATTTGGTCAAGGGAAAGGAAATGCAGAAGAGTACAGGAGAAGGAATAAAGGAATGTCACAAATTTTTTGCTTGGTTGATTTATCTTTGTTTATATTCTCATTGCTTTGAAATCCCAATTTCCACAATATTGGTGTTGAACATCCCATCAGGAGTTGAATGATATGATTTGAGATTCCAAGAATTAAAATTGAGTGGATCTGTTTTCAAATAAGTTGTTTCACCAATAAACAATTGAAAGTATTAAATTTATGACAAAATTATATAGGTAATTTTTAATATTATTAAATTTATTAAATTCTAACATCATATTCTCTTTGGCTTTATATATAATATTCAAATAACCAAGTTATGCAGATAAAAAATTTGGCTAAAACTTGTCAAGGGCAATAAGTTTATAAAAAAATGTATTTTATCTGTAAAAATGTTCTTATTTATGGAGTGAAAGTGGGTAAAAGAGAGAATAAATAGGAAAAAGGAGATAACTATATTTAATAAAATAAGGTAAAAGAGGGGGGAAAAAAAAGCTAGTTAAAATTTCAAGAGTCTTTAATATAAGAGCTAGATAACTAATTTAAAAAAATTAAAAAAAAATTAGCTAAATTAGTTATTTGTAATAAATGTATATTAACTTCTCTAAAACATTTTCTTTAATCATGTGTATTAAAATGACATCTTGGTGGAAATCTTTTACAATCAATAGGGATATTTTGAGAAAAATGTGAGACAAAGAATTGATGTCTCATGTCTTTTTATTTTTGATACAAGAAGGAGAGAGAAACTCTCAAAGCATGCTACCCATTATCATTGGGTCCGGATGAATCCTGCAATAGAATATCTTTAAGCTCTGCAGGCGGCGAGACTATAGGAAAGAAACCCGTGATGCCTCCCAGTGCCAACTTTACTAGATAATCAGTTGCCTTATTCGCATTTCGACTTACATGTTGAATTTCGACATTCTAATCCCGTGCAAGAAGTGCCTTGATCTCAAAAATCAGGCCGACTTCAGCATGTGTATCCGTCTGCTGGTTCCATAATAGATCTACCACTTCATAGGCATTTGTTTCCAGAATCACAAGTTGATGGCTTGCGTCCCAAGTGGTTTTCAGTCTAAGAAGAACAGCCCATAGCTCAGCGGATAGACTGTCTCCGATGTGGTCGTGGTGCATGAAGCCCATAATGAAAGCCCCGTCGTCATTGCCCGCAACTCCACTGCACCCAATTCCTTTACCTCTCAAGTAAGCTCCGTCAACGTCCAACTTCACCCATCCTTCCCCATTGTTCATGTCTATCAGTCACTAGATGACCATTGAGATTACTTCCTTTTATGCGGGCTCGAGCATGTTGAGTAGCTGTGACCATGGACTTGGCATGTACAAGAAGGGAGTCATTTGTTGTGATTCTTGCCTCAAAGACTCTGTCATTCTGCCTTTTCCAGAGTAACTAACAGATTGTTGAGAATGTGCTCCCCCAGTCCTTATATCCTGCGTTGAGGGTGCCTCTAAGATTCTATTACATCCAGTCCTTTAGGTTGGCATGGAGGAACCTGTTATGCGATTCTGGTCTTATTAGGCCTCTCTACAACCTCATGGTCGCTTCACAATCATGTAGAACATACAACGTGGTTTTAAGCCTCTGTTTGCACCATGTGCACAAGTTATCTCTGGTCATATGTTGTCGGGCCCGCTCCTCATTCGTGAGAAGACAGTTATGGTAAGCTAGCCATAAAAAGGTTTTGCACCTTTGAGTGGTATCCATCTTCCAAATCTTCTGCCACGTTGGGTCGCCTTCTCGGACACCGTCTGTAATTATGGTGTATGCACTTCTGATCGAGAATAGTCCACTCTTTTCATGCTTCCATCTTACTGTAGTGGTTGAGTAGTCAACTACACACCCATCCTTAACAAACTTCCAAGAGTTTTTGATCCCCTACCATACGTTTGAGCCGCATCGCTCCATGTTTATAATTGGTATGAGATTGTTTTTGCACTTATATTTGCTCCGCAACACCTGTACCCGCAGTTCATCCTTACGGTGCATCAAATTCCCCCCAAGCTTAGCCATGTATGCTTGGTTTTGTTGTCGCATGTCTTAGTTCCAAGACCCCCTGTTTTCTTTGGCTGGCAGATGATGTCCCACTTCACGAGATCGGTCTTTTGTTTTTCTATTGTAGTGCCCCATATGAAAGCCTGGTTACTTTTCTTAATGCTGTTGTAGGTACCCACTAGGAGGGATGAAGTCTGCATAATGCACCCTAGGATTGCAATAGTCACTGCCGCAACCAGCATCGTTCGTCCTACCAACAAAAGATTATTAGCTTGCCAACTCGTTAGCTTTTGTTTCACCTTATCCACAACTCCTTGGAAGCTATCTTTGGTGACTCTAGAGTACAGCAATGGTACACCTAAGTACTTTCCAAGGTCTCCCGTCATTTGAAAACCTAGCACGTTGCTTTGTTCACTCTTTCGAGTATGATTAATATTCTCAGAGAAGTACACCCGAGTCTTACGAGCATTGACTTTTAGACCAGAGCTTTCACAAAACACATCCAAACACTGTTTAATCGCTTTAGCCTGTTGTATTGATGCTTCACCGAAGAGAATAATATCATCAGCGAAAAACAAATGAGAGATCGACGGTCCAGACTTACAAAGTTTTATGGGTAGCCAAGTTTTGGAGGCAACCCGCTCTTGGATGAGGGGAGCAAGATGCTCCATACATATTACAAACAAGTATGGGGAAATGGGGTCGCCTTGTCTTACTCTTCTAGTCGGCTTAATGTCGCCTGCAATTTCACCATTCCAGAGTAGCTTCATGGAGAGGGTCACTACGCACTGGTAAATAATTTCAATGAGCTTCTCAGGAATGTGTAGGTCGTGTCTTATGCCTAAGAACAAATCCAATACTTAATCAGCTCATATATTAAAAATTGGAGGCAGTATTTTATATATAGGATTGGAGTGTTAATGTCTACTCTATCTCATTAACCTATATAAATATGAGTATATATGGACGAAAAATATTTGATGGTTTATAAAACTACCAAATGCCTTGCAAAAACCATCAACAACATCTTTTAATAGATGCTTTATGTACGGGACTGAAGGTATGTTGAATGATAACATACCATTTTAATATTAAAAGATTTAGATAAATTGAGGCTCAAACTTACTATAATCAATAATATTAAAATACTTTTCAAATAGGGAGTAATATATCTGTTTTTCCGAAGTTCAAATAAGATTGTTATTCAAGAATGAATTGATGTTGTAAATGCAAAACTTTTTGGAAAAAATTATTTTTCATTATGATTAATTATAATGTTGTTTATTTTATTTTATTTAAAATTATTATTTTACTACTGATGATTGAAAAATATTTTTCTAAATTCAAGAATGATAATTTTTATTTATATATTTTAATTAGAGGTATAAAGTTTTCCCCACAAAAATTTTAGAGGTACAATCATTCATTCATCTTTCTATTTATTTTATTTTATTTTAATGATACTTTCATTTCAACCAATCGAATATAATCATGAATTGAAAATTTATTATAAAAGATTAGAAAATTTCATGGTAGCAAATACAATAGAAAATGACAGTTCAAAATACAAACGGCCTCAACCCTCATGTTGCAAGGCTTTTGAAAAATAATATTAATTAATGAGTTTATGATAGCTATTAATTAATATTTAGTGTTATAAATATTATGTTATGTGGATGTGCATAATTCTATAGCCTCTTAGGATTTCATTTAATGGTTAATGGCATTATACTTATAACTTCCAAATTGAAGGTTTCTAGTATTTATTCCCTATAACCTCCAATTGTACAATTGTGTTGCTTAATTCACTTCTTTATGTACTTATAACTCTTTAGGTTAGTCTTCAATGTTGGGGTTCTATAAATAGGAGATGATATACACACATTTGAAATAATAAAGTGAATGAAAATTTCTCCTTATTTTCTCCTCCAATATCCTCTTATTTTCTCTATCTCCCCTATCTCAATTTTTATATTTTTCTTATTTTCATAAAACATTATCAGTACGAGTTTGTTCTGAAGATTTAAAGTATAAACTTTGTAAAGTGATATATTCTCATAGTATATAATAATTCTCTCTATCAACTTCCCCTTACTCAATTATCCCTTTTATCCTATTTAATTTTCTATACATTTGCTATATATTATTACTGTTCTTTTATATTATTTGTTACTTTATTCTTTGTATACATTTTAATTTCGTTATGTTTCAATGCTTCTTATTATGTTGTTTATTTATATATATCTGTCTGGTTTATTTTATGTTGTTTTACATCTACCATAATATTGTATATGATTATATAATGTAATTTATATATAAATTTATTTGTGTCTTTATATTTAATTATAAATTTGAATTTAATTAATTTGTTTAGTTACAATATTATTTTTATTTTATTTTATTGAATAACTAGAAGTCATAATACTTTTGATCATTTGATTAGATCACTACAAGTCATATCACTTTTATAATAGTTCTTTTGTAAAAAGACAATATGGGTGTTTTTAAATGGCATGATAAGAAAAATCTATAGCACTTTGATGATTTAATGTGATAAATATCAAAACCTTAAAGGCTACATGGTGATAGATATCAAAACTTTGAAAGCTAATGGTTCAAATATCAAATGGCACAAAAGAACTTTATTTAAAAGATTTCTACTATAATCCTAAAGACTAATATTGGAAGAAATTGATTATGTGAAGCAAGAAAAATGTCTATAAGAGTGATAAAGAACGTGATCACATTGTACTAGTGAATTAATGATTGAAGGGCAATAATCTTCACAACACTGGAACCAAGTTAGGTGAGCTTGAATGTATTGGTTAGAACGGGGAAAGATGCTCTTAGAGCGTACTCGTTCCGAATCTTGGCTATTGAACCATAATTGAGGAAATAGTAATATTTTTATAGTAAAAAAACAATTATGAGAAAATGTTATAATATAACTAAACGTTATATAGATGAATATATATACTAATACATTGAGAGTAAATGTTAGAATTGGTTATGAAACCAAAAAAGACCATGAGATATGAGATATTATGAAAAATACCAAATATAGTTATCATGTCTATGGCAATGACTTATGACAAAAGATATCCAAAATAATTAAAGTTGAAAGATATAATCGTAAGCCCAGAAAGTTATATGATTTTTAATTTTTATTAGTATTAATTTTTTACGAGTGATTGGTAGAAAAATATCCAAGAGTGGTTTGAAACTAAATATACCAAAAAAGTAGTTATTGTCATTTTGAAATATTAATTTAATGTGACAATTTATTTGCATATTTAAGAATATGAAATGTGAATATAATTTATTTTCATATTAATAGAATAGCCTAAAAGATTGCCATATTATAATATTGATATTTTATTGTGCCATTTGTGTGCAAATTAAAGAGATGATATAATATTATTTTGTTTATTTATATCCTATTCATATGATCTTATCTAATACTAATTTTGACTTATTGTGATTTATTGATAATAAATTTTATTATTAGTATTCGAAGTTATTTCAAGTTTAACTAAATAAGAAATTAGTTGAGAAAGAAAAATTAAGCATTCATATAATATGAAAGTATTTTTTTCAAATGATATATTTTGAGTGTTGCAAATTGAATAAATGATATATGATATCTTGATTAATGTTGAGAAGTTTTGAACAATGCATTCAATTTTACACTTTATTCTCAAAATGTTTATTTTAAAAGATTATCTACATTTTGTGTTCCTTTTAACTATATGAATTTGCTTGTGATAAGAAATTAAACATATAAAGATGATAATTACAATTTTAAAAAAATTGATGAATATTAGATTAATTCAAATATCATTTAATTCTTTAAATTTTGAACATTTTGAAATAACATAAAAGAAAATTGGATATTTATATTCCTCTATTCTAATGTTACGACATATGTTAATCTTTAATTTTCGAAATGATGAATGTTGATTTTATGTATTTAAATTAAATTAGTCTCTTTATAACATTTGTGAGAAAAATAAAAATCATATATTTATGTCACATTTGAATTGAGAGAATGGAAAGTTATTTAATTTTATGAGAAAATTTATTAAAAATAGTTGATGTTGATTTTGATTAGCTGGAAAAAATCTTAATTAAGAAAAAGAGGATAGCATATTCTTTCTTGCCCTAGTGATAATATCACTTTTACTCTTCCTGATAACAATGTCACTTTTTTTCAAGTGGATTATTTCTAATACTTTTCATA